GACGATGGCGCACAAAGCAAAGTGACGCATCAAATTATGTAGAGTAGTCGACGTTTTAATGACACTCCAGTGCCGCTCAAGACACCCAGAGTACAGAACAAATGAGCAATAAGCTTTGATGCTGCGCCGGTTTTTAAGTAGATTTTTACAGTTTTCGTAAATGTGTTTTTGGCTTTTCTTTTTTATTGTTGTATTCTGCAAATTGTAACTACATACTTTTAAACTTCACTGTTGCTTGGCTGTTACATTAGCAGCGCACATGCATACATACTACATAACTACACAATGTAACATTTCAGTAATCTCTGTGCTTTGTAATTGTTATTGTTGTTGCAACAATTTTCCTTTCCTTTTCTCCGCACCTAATGCTGCTAATAACGGTAATAATGTGCTTGTCATATTTTTCAAATTTTTGTATGTACGAGTATAGTTAGTACAATTTGCCCTCAAGCCGCCGCTGTCAACACGGCGTATGAGTGCTTTATGCGTTTATGGGAGTTTTTTTTTAAATCATCACTCATACGACGTGTCGAACGAAATTGCGCTAGCGGCTGACAATTAGCAACTGTTTCATTGTTTTTCCTAATTTTTTCTTTAATACTTCTTTTTACGTTTTTTTTTCTGTTAAATAATCGCCTCGGCACTAAAGTCTTCGGTTTGTTTGAAGGAATCGTTTTGCTTTGTTAGTTAGTTTAATACTATACATCGATATGAACGTGTCTTCTGTTTCAGATTCTTCTTTGTTTTTGTATATACCAGGTATAATTTTTTTGTATTTGGATTTTAATTGCACAAATGCCATTCTAAACGAAAACAAAAAGAGGGTACGTATCGCTTAGCTGCCGCAAGCTTTATAATAAGCGCTAGAAAAAGTTATGTTATCAGTACTTGCACAAAATGCTCTATTATTCATTAAGGCGCTATGCTTTTGCTTAATTTTTCGAAAAGTCCGATTTGTGCTTTATTTCAAGATATTATCTTTGAGAGTATTTGGGTATTACAAAGTAGTGTATTACCATAAAAATTATTGCCTTGTCAACTTTTTATTAAAGTGGTGATCGTTCTCATGATAGTCGTATCAATGTTACTCCAAAGGTTAATATACATTTCTGGCTAAGGACTGTCACACCAGCAGCATTCACCAAAAATCTTTACTGAATAATTATGCTTTTATAACAACAGGTAATTCAACTTCTGTTGCAGGAAAAAGGGTGTCTGTGAATCCCATGCTGACGAATAAGGAACAATTTTCTTAAGCTTAATCTCAATCTTAGGCTTAAGCTTAAGCTTAATCACAATATCCATTTAAATCTGTATCTCAATCTCAGTCTTAATTTTAATCTCAGTCTCAATCTTAATCTTAGTCTTAGTCTAAATCTTAATCTTAATCTCGATTCCAACCTCAATCTCGCCCTCAATCTTAATTTGCAACTTAATCGTAACCTTAATCTAAATTTGAATTTTACTCTTAATCTAAATCTTAGCCTTAATCTTAACCTAAGGCTCAATCTCTGTCTTAATCTTAATCTCAATCTTATTCTTAATCTTAATCTTGGGCTTAATCTTAATCTCAATTAAAATTGTTATCCTAATCTCAGTCTTAGTTTCAATCTCAATCTTAATCCTAGTCTTAATCTCAATATCAATTTTAGTATTAATCTTAATCTCAATTTAAATCGGAATCTTAATCTTATTATTAATCTTAATCTTAGTCTCACTTTAAATCTTAATCTTAATCTTAGCCTTAATCTTAATCCTCATCTTAATGTTAGTCTTCGCCTTAGTCGTGCCCAACCATCCCCGCCATCACCTCCCTTCATAGAGCCAAAGGATTGTGTCGCTTTCTCGTTACTTCGATGTTTTGCGCAAAGAAGTTTCACTGTTGGCTCTTCACAAAGAATGTAGTTACGTATGTATGTAGATATATTTTTTGGCTTTGACAAAAATATTTTAGCTTAATTAAGCGTCATTCGTGAGCTGGACTGTGTTGTACATACCTCTGAAAACCTTGTTTCTCCACAAAAATTGTATGTACTGTCGAAACCTGATAATTGGAACTCCATATTATCAGTCATTAAGTTGCAATTAACCGAGATTTACAACTAAGTGTAACTATTCGCAACAATGTTCAATTAGATTAACCCCGAGAAATGCTCAATGGATATCAACTATTTCTTCATGATTGAATAGCACTTCCGTTTGGTAAATTTTCTTCTATACTTACTACGATTGCATCGTATTTTCAAAAGTTTATGACGTGATATCCTTAAAAAATAAATCAACTTAAAAACCAAAAAAAAATCTCACAAATGAAGGTATTTTGAAAATTAAAAAAGTTTCGTTATAAGAATTCTTTTTCCTATTTATTACTTTAATTAATCGAATAATTCCGTAGTCTAAATAAAGAATTGGGAGGCAGTATCAGAAGAAAAAAAGGAGAAGCAAATGTGTTTTCAACTGATGCCATTTACTACTTAAATGAAGAGAAATTTTACTTTAAAATTGCGCAACCAGATATATGTAGCTTCTCCAATAATTGATAATCCAATAATTGCAATTAATTGGATTTTATGGGTACATACAACTTTCATGCCAAATGAACAAAACAGTTTATAATGGAAGAGGTAATTAACTGGTTTCGGTTAAATTGCAAAAACTTCCTTAGGAGATAAAACTTACTTAGGTTTTTTTGATGAATGTAAATGAAATTTGTAATGGAAGCTTAAGAAATGCATACCCAAAAATTTTCTGAGAAAGGATTCCCCTAAATATCAGGGACCGTAACAGTTACAACTTTTATTAAAATAAATCGCTATTTAACAATTATTTTTTTGAATTTTATTTAATTACTCCTTAAATAACTGTTTTTTCTGATTTTTATTTTATAAATCACAAATAACAGTTATTTTTGATTTTTAAATTATTTATACAAGCCATCAATATAATTTAATACAATTTAAAATCATACTTATAAAAGTCATTTGTACAAGTCTTAGTAAATTGTGGTTCTCCAACACCTTCTTAACTACGAAAAATTATAATGACTTTTATCGTATGACTTAGAAAATAAAAGTCGTTGACTGACATTTATTAATGACTTTTATAAATAAAAGTCTGCAATAACTGTTATCTAAGACATATAATATAAAAATCAAAAATAAATGTTATTTTCATACTATTTAGATACAAATTAAAAATAATTGTTATTTTGGATTTATAAAATAAAAATCAAAGATAATTGTTATTTTTTTTAAATATTTCATCAAAATTGTAAATAAAAATTTATTTTCAAATTTGATTCTCGATGAAAAAAGAAATCAATTGGTATGCATCACTTAGTTGTAGAACATTTCTTTCATATCGTTGGCTGAGTGGAAGATCGACCTATCTCGGCTGCCAGTTCGAAAACGCCCTATCTCAGAAAATTTTTCAACAACGCTCTAACTAATAAAACTTTTCAAGAACGCCCTACTTCAGAATTTTATTGAAAAACGCCCTATCTCAATAAACTTTTCAAGAACGCCCTATCTCAGCTGCCGATTCAAAAACGCCCTATTTCAGCTTATTTTCAATGTATTTTCGTTCGAGATAGGGCGTTTTTGAACCGAATTCTCAGATAGGGCGTTATTCAACCAAATTCTGAGATGGGGTGTTTTTCAAAAAAATTCTGAAGTAGGGCGTTCTTGAAAAGTTTTCTGAGACAGGGCGTTGTTGAAAATTTTTCTGAGATAGGGCGTTTTCGAACTGGCTGCCGAGATAGGTCGATCTTCCACTCAGCCAACGATATGGAATTTTTCAATGACATTTTTCATCAATAACTGTTATGTTCAGTCCCTGCTAAATATATCTGTCTCTACATATTGCTGATCGGATTCCATATCTAAGCTTTCGAAGAAGTTATCGTCCAGCGAACCGAGGCATTTTTTTAGCAGTTCGATGAACCCGCATATGAAGTCATGATTGGATTCTCTTTCTTTCTCATCTCGGAATCTTCTGTATCCCGTCGAGTTTCGATTAAAATATTAGGCTTCCCAGTCGATTATGAAGGTTACATGAATTTTAGATTTGCAATCAAAATAAATTTCCATGGTTATTTTTTATTTAGTTTACACCAATAAAATAGAGTACAGATAAATTATTTTTAACCAGATAACCTGATAACCTGGGAATATCATTCAAATTTATTTTCCATTTTTTTTAAGTGATTTTTCGAAAATAAAAGGGTTTGCAGAAAAATGCTTACATTTATTTAATTAAGAATAATCTATTATGTAACTTAACAGCCAGTTGCTCACGATTATTATTTTTATGACCTCAATTTGTCAGATACTTTTTGATACTTTCCTTAATTGCCACAAACTCAAATATTTCACCAAAATGCCTATAGTTAAACGAGAGCAATTATTTCGTTGAGAAGCATTTTAATTGCCATTTCCACTTTTTATTTTCAAATATGCGTTTTATTCGCTGCTAGTTTGCCACAACAAGCAACAAAACATTCGACAAAATTAAATAATGAAATTAATCGTTGCTGCCAGGAATTGGCGTGCGTAAGTTGAGTCACAGTTAGACAGACAAAAAAAAAAAACAGATAATCACACACGGGCAGACAACGTCAAGGACATTTGCGTGCATGTTACGCGTTTCAGCACTATTTTCCCTTTCTTCGCTCTTCATGATTTCAAAGGTTTTTTTTTTTTACTTTTTTGTCGTTGTTTTGCAAGCGCCTTGACAAAAAACCCACCTACCTAATCGCTTTTAAAACATTTAACCACTTATCCGCCAGTCTGAGTTTTTGTCAGTTGCGCACACAAATTTTCTGGACTTTCACCTTTTAGCTGCGATTTTCGCGGATTTGCAATAGACCAAGCTTAGCGCTGACACGCTTTTATAATAACTGAGTTTTATTGAATTTTTTATAATTTTCACTTTGGAGTCTTTTATTCATTGCTTGCCCGCTTTTTCATCCGCTTAGGCGATTACACAACACATAACTTCACCTTCTGTTTGCGTACTGTTTTTGCCGTCATTTTGCCATGGGCAACAACAACAGGACATAACAGGAAGTGAGTAATAACAAAAACAACAAATGACACAAAAAATAAACTGGCACAAGAGAAAATCAAATTATATGCATTCATACATACATATATATGTACATATGTAGCTGTTTGTATGTGTGTTTTTATTAAATGGCACAGTGTAGAATTCGAGTTAATATGTGTATGTTTGCATCTTCACTTAGCTCAGCATATGTGAAATCCGGATCAACTTTCTTAAATTTCCACCAACTAACCAAACGATCAGAGAGGAGAAGTCGTCCAACTTAGTCAGCACACAAGCACATATTTACTATAAATACATATCTAAATGAGTAGGCATGCAACTTTTTCGCTTTTCACTCTATAGAATAATTGATTAATATTTAGTAGTCAAATTTAATTTTTATTTATTGATTTTGTTTGCAAAAAAGTCAGTTGCATAAAACTTTTAAGTAATTAATTTTCTGATTTTTTTTTTTTTAATTTCCAGCCAATTTCTTATATGCCACTTTTATTTATTGTAGTATATTTTTGAATTCAAATTCAATTGTTCACTTTCATTTTCACTAATAAGTACCGTTGGCGCGCTAGTTATCCTCTTTTGCTTAACGTCGGTTACGTGAGAATGCTTAGGACGGACTGAAAGAATAATTCAGTGGTAGCCTGTAAATATGAGTTCACTTGCACTGCATTGGTAGTAAGGAAACTCACCACACGCAGAAACTTCTTATGTAGATATTTGAACGTACATATGTATGTATGTATGCGTGAGTTATAATTTTATTTTCCCACTAAGCAAAAGTGAAGTCGGTAAACTTGAATTTTACTTAAGAAAACACCATTTTCAATGACCAGTACCATTATCTTTATCTTTGCTAGTATCATTATCATTATCATTATCTTTATCAGTACCAGTACCATTATAATTATCATTACAATTACACTCACGTATACAATCATCTTCAGCATTATTACTACCACTTCCTTTACGATTGCTATCACGAATGCTATCACATTTACAATTACCAGTACCATTACCATAACAATTACCAAATTTAATACAATTGCCATTACCATCACAATCACCCTAGTATCATTAAAATTATAATTGTGATTACCATTGCCATTGCCAATATCATTGAAATTCCCTTTAGCCGACATGGTAATGCCATTACCTTTACTATCATTATAACGAATACATTACCTTTACCAATAGCAATACCACTACCATTACCATTGCCATTACAATTTCCATTACCACTATCATTGGCATTACAACTACCAAACCCCTTTACCAGTAATATTAACTGTACCATAACTTTTACCAATACTACTACCATTATTTTACAGTTAGCCTTATTCTTATCATTACTATTGCATTACCATTGTCATGCCCATTACTACAAGCATATTACTAGATATCACCAATTGAATCGCCTTAAGCATCCGCATACAGTTCTGCACAAGTACCAGATTTCCTTTAATTAACGAGTAAAATTTCTTCTGATTCCCTTTAAAATATTTGTTTCTTGCCATTGGAGCAACTCTCAAAATTCAAGCCGCTAATGCCTTCCCTTGAATCGTACTAAGATTAAACAAATTGTACACATTTCTTTGACTGGGAATAAATCAATGTGTATGTATGAGTGAGTACACATGTTATGACATGGCTGTTAACGGTTGACTGTCGCCATGGTTTTGCTTTGGTTACTCAAGCCGGAAGGATATGAGTCGTCGTGAAGTGTACAAAGAGCATATATTTGCGGTAAAAAGAGAGTAAGAGAGATTACCTGTTCATGAGAGGTTTAAAGTGTAATGGATCTATTTTGTATCAGTGCCAAATTCTTGTCACAGTTTACTAAAAAATTTTTCGTCACCGATACAGAATTGGGTTATAATTGCCGACTTTAAAATAATTACAAGTATAGCTATTTCTTATTAGCTCTTTAACTTGGATTATCAATATCCTGGTTGCCAGGTGCTAAAGCGTAGTGCGGTGGCATATTTTAATTTTTTTTTTTAATTCGTAGCAAATTTAATACGATCGTATCAAAGTGCCAACGCTGGTCACCGCCAGAACATCAGCGCATACACAGGCATCGCTTCCCTTTTGGGTGTTGATCCGATGCGTCCACATACGTGGCATTTATTGAGGTCAAAGTTATGTTTTTCTGTCTTAAAATTAACCCTAACAGGAACTTTAATATTTTTGATAATAAATACTCCGTTTTCCGCTGATTCTTACAATGATCCTTCGTATATCGAAAATGGTATTCATAGGTGCTCTAGTAATATTCACTTGAAATGAAGTTTTTCATAATCAGCGATTTTAAGAGCAGGCCTTTCTCTTTACACTTTCAGTCGTGTCGGAACTGCGCAGAATCCAACACTTTGGCCAAATTCAAAACAAACTTCGAACTCACCAAAACGCACTCACTAAAGCTGATTGCGTGATAATTGTGTTTTGTTTGTATTATTTTTCAGCTTTTCCTTTATCGTTTCTGCAGCGCTGTTTGCCTGTTTTTTTTTTTTTTTGCGGAGCACACTTCACGGTTTCGCTACTTTTCCTTTTCACTCGATTTCCACGCTTTGTTATTATTTGGGGGCCAACAAACAAAAGCAAAAGAATCTGAGTCAATTTCAAAGGCAAGTTCAAACAACGGTCAATTGCCCAATTTTATGCGAACTATAAAGTGTGTCGAATGGCAGTTAAAAGGGGAAAAATAAAAAACACGAAAAAAAACTTACAAAAATCTATACAAATTTTCACTTTTCAAATGGGAAAGCAGACAATTTGAGAAGCAATTGCAAATTGAAAGGAAAGGGGAAATAAGCCATGGCAACTTTAGAACTCGCAGAGCAGCAATAAAAAAAAAAAAATGCACCAACCCGCAGACCGACTGACCCCCCACCAACGAGCAGGCAAAGGCTCCAACAATATGCTGAGCTGGAGAAATGCCAAATCGAAATGGAGCAAAGGAACCTTGAGGCGCGCGGCTGGCAGTATTGTATGTACTTGATATGTACGAGTAGGTAAGTAGTCAGTCGATATTTGTCGACAAGTGCGAGTTGGATGGAGTGTGTGTGGGTCTAACCGCGTAACAGAGCGTGAAAGCATGTGTACGAATACATATATGTGGCGAAGCATTGAGGCGATTTATTTGCGTAGATGCGTGTATGTGGGGAGGTTTGTTTGCTTGCGCTGATACATACATACTTCATACGTACGTACGAGTACGCATACATTTATGCTTATTGGCATAGTGAGTCATTTGCAGTTGCATTTTCAGGCTGGTTATAGTGGTTGTTGTTTTGGATTTTTTTTTTTGTTGGTTTTGTTGTCATCACGCAATATGCCACAGAAGTGCGTATGAGAATGTGGTGTGTGGGGCACTCAAGCACACCTGCATACATACATACATATGAACATTCGTGCATACTTATTACTGTTTTACAGCCATAGGAGCTATTTGGCGCTTGTACACTAGAGTGGACCAAAAAATGTTTTCCGAGGTAGGGTAGGGGACAAGGTGGCCCACTTCCCAAATTTTTCCTCTTACCGAAAGAGGTCCTGGTACCACGTTTCTAAGTATGCATTTAGAGGATGCCCATGTTTACTCTAGAAGTATTGTGTACATGTATTGATCAAAAAAATAATAAAATAACTTGGGAATATCTCAAATCTAAATTATCGCTTTTTATAAAAATCACTAATATTTTTACCAGTTTCATAGCAATCCACTTGCGCATTTTGAGGTCATTGAGCACCCTGTATTGGTTGCAGTAGAAAACTGAAAGTTGGTATAGATTTAACATATATCAAAAAGAAAAAGATAAGGCGGTGCCCCGTTTTCAGGAATTAAATTAAGAGTGAGCAAGACTGCGCTGCTTCGCACACAAGCGCATGTGTGTGTTTGCCCATCTCTGCTGATTTGCAAATGAAAGTGTACGTTTTCTACAACTACGACTACAAAAACCATCAACAAATGTAACAAGGCATTCCATAGCAGCCAATATACACACAAACGCTTCGGTTTTTTCAAGCTTTCTCTCGAATGATGCCACTTAGTGGGCGCATTCCGCGACTCACCTGTTGGCAAACATTCCCTCTGACTTGTTAATGTGCGCTAGCTATTCTAGCCTTCTAGAATTTGTTTTTGTCTTTTTTCGCTTTACTGCCATTTTTAAGCTCAGCCTCCTCGCGCGCATAAATTGTTTGGCATTTTTATTTAGTTTCTTTTTCCTCCTATGGATTTGCATTTGTCGGAGAGCTTTTACAAGTGTGCACAATTGTAAACATATCTACATACATCTGTACGTACAATTTCACATCTATGTACATAACTACATTCAGTCTAGTTTTCAGCTGCATTCATTTGCAAGCTTTGTCTTATAATTTACCGTGTATTTCTCGTCGTTTATTTACAAATAAAATTTTATGCACACAAATTCAGAAAAAGACAATTTGGAAAATCTTTACGTGATCGCTAGGATTAAGGATTACTCTTGACTCAATACTTGACTCGAAGAGTCTTGAGGAATAAATTCGTTACGCAAACCAAGTCTACTGGAGAGTATTCTTACAGCTTAAGTTCAACTTGTTTATACTACATCGTCACCTGAGTGGAAGATCGACCTATCTCGGCAGCCAATTCAACAACGCTCTATCTCAGAAAACTTTTCAAGAACGCCCTATCTCAGAATTGGGTTAAAGAAAGCCCTATCTCAGAATTTTACAATGCAATGTCTGACTAACAAAACTAACAAGCTAAAGGCGCTCTCGGAACGCCGCACAGTGGTTCAAAATTGGATTTTGTTTGTTCACAATTCACTGGAGTCTTAATTTTTCAATCAATTGGATTAATTTTTTTGTAACTTTTTCTACTTTTCAGCACTTTGCACTAACAAATTTTATACAAACTAACAAAAATTCAAAAATCGGGCAAATTTGCAATATTTTATTAGCTTTCGTTAAAAACTGAAGGCTCCACCTAATTGTGAGCACAAAATGTCAATTTTGAACCACTGTGCGCAGACTGCCCACAAAAATTCTGAAGCACTGTGGTGGTTAGTAGGGTTATCAGCTTCTGAGAATCATACTCGCACACTCGATGGGACGGCGGCTAGTGGTGTGAACACGCCACTGCCGCTTGTCATGCAACAAAGGTCGTGGGATGGTCAGCGGAACACCCCCAACAGAGACTGCCACATGGCTCTATGGCCTGCACAAGCTGATTAGCAGGCCACTCCCTTCCAAGGAGGCAGTCTCCCTGGTTTGAGAGGTGCAGAAAGGAAAAGAAGCACCTCTCTCTTCATCCGCGGGCTCGTGTCTAGCTTCTTGCAGATTCATCCATGTGTGTGGAAATCGAAGAAACTCTTCGATACTGTAATTCCAACCTTCCGACGTAAAATGGGAGGGTTATAAAGCTGGAGAAGACCGAGGGTACTGCTGAATGCTGATACCAGTGTATTCATAAGTTATGGCTACGACGAGGCGGTTCTTAAAGTCCTCACGTCTGCTGCCAGGGCATCAATCTCCGGAAGCGTCAAAGCTCTGTAGGAAAGAACGCGATCCCATGGTGCATAGAGGTCGATACGACTTCATCGGATACGGAGAGTATTGGTGGCGAGTGCTCAGCTAAGCAGACCAGCAGATAGTCTCCGAGGTCTGTTCGACAGAGGCCTGGAAAAAATTCTAGAGGATGAAGACCTTACAGATCAAGGTTTACAAGGCGGTCATCGCCAAGTTTTTGCTGCACATTGAGATGTAACGTTACTGGACTTAAATCAAGTTAATAGCGGCGACCATCTTAGGTTGAACCAGAGCATTCATGCTAATCGTAACCGAACTAAAAATATTTCTTTTTCAAAATTTTCAGCAATGGGTATATTTTGATCACCATGAAAGGAGATTAAAAAGATCTAGATCATGTCTGGTGGATCGAGATGGAATCACCTTCAGCCTTGCTGAGAGACGCGAATCCTCCTAAAACTTCCCACAGGAATCTCGAAGTTGTGTCACAGGAATCTTTGCTCAGCTCATCCTAATTCAACATAGAGGAACTTGGATATTTCTGAGGACATGCTGGAGGAATTGGTTGAATGTTTCAGTCCTGCGTGCGGGATACCAAAAGGGGTTGGAGTTCCAATATTAGAATGATGTCTTTTCTTACAATTTTGAATTTTTCGAATAAGGAATGATTTAATTTCACACGTAGAAGGATTTACATTTATGTATAATATTTGATTTCCAAAACACAGAAAGCGTCAAAAAATATGTATTCTGTGTAATCTTAAAGCATGCGATAAAATTGCTCATACTTCAGATGCGCAAACTTCCTTCACAAAAGACTTTCAACAATTTACGAAGAAGCTAAAACTGTTTGAATCCACGCCAGATACGTGGCCACATTCACATAAACTCCAGGCACCCCACCTTGGCCACAACCAATGCCCCAAGCCACCAAGCCGACCACATACCAAATGTTGTTGCTCTGGCAAACGAGTGGTGCACCGCCATCACCCTGTATGAAAGAAAGCACAGCCAAGTAAATACAAAACTCTGTCACCTCTTCGCTCCACTCATTCACTCACCGTACAAGCATCTTTGCCCGCTTGACCACCAGCACAAATGAAACTACTATTGTTTAATTGAAAAGATGGTCCGAGTCGTGTGGCCTGCAGCAATGACTGACACGCCGCATTCGTAATGAGTGGCACATCCACCTCCCGTTCTATAGCCTGATAAGCGCCTGTGGGACCAAAATCGTTCTTACCCCAACCGGCCACATAGCACGTTTGACCCACAAAAGTTGTCGTCGGCAAGCAGACAGTGCCCACCGTAGATTTTGTGGTGAGTGAAACAGCTGTAGCGAGTTGAATGATGGCGATATCATTTTGTAAATTAGCCGAATTGAAATTCGGGTGCAAATAAACGGCTGCGATGAGCACATCTTGCGCTGGTATGGGCTCCGAAGTGCTTGCCGCATCCCATTCGCCGACACGCACCTTGAAGGTTGAAGTGCTGCAAGCGTCAAAGTAAGTAAGTCAGCAATAAGAAAAATACGAAAAATTTTTAAATAGCGAATTATCTTACGGAATATTGTAGACTTTGTGCGCGGCCGTGAGCACATGCTGTGCAGTGATTAGCGCTCCGGCGCCCAAATAAACCTCATTGTTGGTAAGCAGCGCTGCGACCCAAGGATATTCGCCGAATTGCGCTTGACCAGCGCCGCCTGGTGTGCTGCCGGGGGGTGGTGAATAGCGGCGTCCACACTGGTATGAACCCGCTAGGCAGCAAAGTGTGAGTCCGTAATTGCAAAAGGTTGGTGTAACAATGGGAGACGTCAACTGCACGGGGGCGAGGAAGAAGTTTCGTATACACCACTTTTAACTTCAAGAAATCTTATTTCACTTACATTGTTCACGATGCGTACGTCGATTTGACCGCTGCCGTCATTGTTTGAATTCGAGCATGAACCGGGTGGCACACAGATGCAGTACGATGTGCTGCTGGCCGGAACAGTAAATGGCGAAATGCTGCCGACTATCAGTTGGCGTGTCATAACTGCGAAAGATATTTGTGGCAGTTAGATTAATATTAGAACTTTATTTATTTTAAAGAAAGCAAAAAAAGGTATCAGCAAAAATTTAAATCTTGGTTTCAAAACCGTTCTGCGGATATGACGATGCAAATTTGTTAATAGACGTTCAGAGTGCACTAAAGATATTAAGTACCCACTTTTTACGGTTTTCAGGGCAGCACAGCGGGTCGCGTTTGATGAAATAGAAGCCATACAAATGTATTTGGACGAAGCTTATAAACCTACAATCGACGAAGAGATAAAAACAACAACAAAGTAAATAAAATATAAGAAAATCTTCAGATCCGATAGTATAATAGCAGATCTGTTGAATATTGGCGCAAAAGAAACTGGAAACGCATATCTACCATATGTTCATCGCAATTTGGCCAGACCAATACATTCCCGAATATAGAAGTCGTCGTTACTCCGCCAGGACAATCCAAAGACTCTAGAGACATTTACATACGTCGACACATAAAGCGAGCCGGTTGCTTCTAGGCGAACTATCGCTTCAGTTAATAATAAGCACGATGAGAAGTTGTCCCTATGACGGCATGTCCAAATTTGGGAACTCTTATAAACTGGTTTGCCGTATTTCCACTAGGCATTGAAATTACGAAAAATGTGTGTAATTTAAAAAATATCATGAATTCCGTCATTATGACGAATTCCATCGTGATCACGAAATTCTCCTTCAAATTCGATACGAGTTATTTTATTTGGATATATTTTATTTAACCAAAACATAAAAACAAACAAAAACCAAAGGCAGCACCAACTACGAATATGTCGTAAGTGCTGATAACATTTCTCGCGAATTCGTGACGGGAGATTTTCTCACGACGGGAGTTCACTCGCAATCTGTGATAGGCCTGCATGTGGAAACGAATTTAATAGCAATTTTATAACTTAATGACTAACTATTTTTTAATGCCAAACTTTTTCATTAAAATTTGTCTAATTTAATGCCTAGTGGAAATTCGGCATTACGGCAATATATGTAGAATAGGGTGGTCCAAAAATGCAGGTGAAAAAGTAAAGTCGAAATTTGTATGCTCTCACATCCTACGATTGCTCTATACCGAAAAAGAATATACCCCTATTTTTTTTTTATTTTGAAATAAAAAAATATTTAGAGGTCGCTCAAAGCGCCCAAAGGGGGACCTTAAATCTCATTTTCAAAACATGTCGGACGAAAATAGCGGTTTTTTTTTAATTATTATACACCACCTATATATAATCTACACTAAGTTTTGTTTCGGGTGGATTTCGTGATTTTTTTTTATAGCACCGTGTTTTTATAGGAGTTAGCAACCCCCAAAACCCCAATTTTGTAACTTTTATTGAGATTAAATGAGTTTTGAATTTTTGAAGTGGGTGCGCCATTTTGAATTTTTTAAATCTGGTATAAGCGACCCAAAACAGCTGGCTATATGGAACCACTGTGCAGTGCGACGACTTTTACCATTCTTCAATCCTAGCTAGGAGAGAATAGGGCATATAAGAAATTTCAGCGAATTCGTAGTACGGTTACCATTTTTAGCCGCAGCTTACATGGAGATGTCCCACTGTGTGTAAATACATAAAACAACCGTGAAGTATTGCTTAATAAGTAAAAGTGTATGCAACATTCGTAAAAATAAAAAGTGCTCAGTTTCATTGTATTGTCTATCCATCTACTTTGGGTACTACATTATGTTCCATAATCAGAACTACTTCTAACAAAATTTGGAAATTATTAAAAATACCAAACTTCACAAATCATTCAACTACTTAGTTTGTTTTTCATAAATGCATACGTATGTAATAGTAATATTTTTATTTATTTAATTTTTCACAAAACTTTCACATAACCCAAACGTAGCAGTTTTCCAAATTCTGAATCACCTGTTGCACTCGGCGATCCTATGGACTGGCCACCATTGTCACCACCACTGCTGCCATTAACCGAACTAAATGTAAATCCTCTATTGCGACGTACCGAATCAACCGTAGATAAGCCGTGTGCGCTCTGGATATAATCCGACAAAAGCGCCAGACTGCACAAAAGGGCAACAAGTGCAAAGGCGCTGAAGTGGAATTGCATTTTATTTATTGAATTTGCAAATTTGTTTGTACATATATATTATATGGAGGTCCTTCGTTGCGCAAACAAACAGTAAATTTTGTATCGCGTGTTAACACAACCACTACTCTAAGTAAATATGTATGTAAAAGCACTTGAAACTCCGCGCCGTTAAATATTTGCTATCCACTCGACCACGCGTGTTGGTCAACTGCTCGTGATAATTTGAAATATTTTAATTTTATATAGATTATTATTTTCTATATTTCTGGAATTGCGGGTGAGTTTGAGTGGCGGCATAAAAAAAAGCAAGTGGAACTAGTAGCTAGGGACACAAAAAAAAAATCCGTGAAAACTACTCCAACAATAATTTGTGGAGTCAGGCAATAGGAAAAACTAATAGCAATAAAATAAATTTCCCATTTTCATACGCACCGGTGGCGCTGGTTGGCTGTTTGGTATGTAGTATGTAAGTATGTACCGATGGCCCTCACCCGCCGCTGATGGCGCACACAAAGTAAACAAATTTTGATTCACCGAATGCTGTGGGGTTTTCCGGGTAAGTACTCAATGGCAAAGTGACACTTTTTAGTCAATTGAAACAGGCAGGCAGGCAATTAACTGTATTCGCATGGCAGTACATGGCACCCACATACGAATGCCTGCACATTAGGGTGGTCCAAAAAAAAAGTAAAATCGGAATTTCTATGCTCTCACTCCCTAGGACTGTTATATATCGAAAAAATATATCCCTATTTTTTATTTTGAAATCTAAAAATATTTGGGGTTCGCTCAAACCGCTCAAAGTTTTTCAGAGAAAAAAAAAGTTTTTCGTAGAAGTAAAGAATTCTTGAAAATCCGATCGAAAAATATTGATTTTCCAGACTCCTATACAATTTCTACGAAAAGTTTTTTTTCCATATAAAATACATGGAAAACTTTGAGCGCTTTAAGCGACCTCTAAATATTTTCTGATTTCAAAATATAGGAGGATAGTTTTTACGCTATAGAACAAACCTAGGGGGGGTGAGAGCATTGAAATTCCGATTTCACTTTTGCACATGCATTTTTGCACCACCCTACTGTACATACATACATATGTACATATGTAAACACACATTCACGGCTATGCATGTAGTGCAACCACTTAGCTTTGCGAGTGGAAAGTGTAAAAAAGTGAAGTGGCTATAGGCAAATGGACCGTCGACCTGCAATCAGAGTGGGACGAAAAAAATGTAAAATGCTTTTGTGACATGAAAAATTACTGTTGGCGCAAATAATTTGATTCTAACAACTTAATGGATTTCAGTGAGCGTCAAAAGCTTCAATATGTAGTAAAAGTAATAGCATTGGGAGCAGAAAAAATATGATTTGTTAGCTTATTGTTTGATTCATTTTTTGCTGGTCGTCTGACATTCAAATACTCAAAGGTGCTGTAAAAGCGCTTGCGCGAATAGTTGCAGTTTTTAAATAAGGATTTACAAACACACATAAATACTATATGTACATACATACTTAAGTATTTATTAATGAGTCTAATGTCATCAACTTTTTTGTAATGCAATTGTTTACTCTAGCTTTTTGTTGATTTGTTACTAATGTCACAAATAAGCACGCACCTGTTGCAGCATGCATGTACATTAGGGTGGTCCAGAAAAAATAAGGTCGGAATTGTAATGCTCTCACCCCCTAGGATTGTTCTATATCGAAAAAAGTATACCCTTATTTTTTATTTTGAAATCAAAAAAAAATATTTAGAGGTCGCTCAGAGCGCTCAAAGTTTTCCATGTAGGGATGTGTGATTAACCAATTAATCGAACAAGCTGATTAATCGAAAGCCCATTAATTAATTAATCAAATATCTATTATTTTTCATTAATCTAAATAATTAATTTCCCAATTAATTACATATTGATTAATCAGAATCTAATTAATTTGATTACTCAGCAAACTGATAAATCATAACCTGATTAACCAGAAATCTGACTAATTGTTGTTATACTTTGTTCTACATATGAACATACGTATGTATGTATACAAAAATAGAAAACAATTTATATATATGTATGTATGTTCATATGTACGTATATATGTATATGTATACGTATTTTTCATTTTAAGGACCTACATATATATGTATGTACATATGTATTTACGTAATATGTACTATATAGTACGTACTTGTTTGGCATTTTTTATTAATAATACGAATATTGAATCCCAGTAGAACTTGGGAGCATCGTACCATTGCTCGGTGAGTACTCCCTTGGGAGTATACGAATACTCCCCATTGCTCCCTATGCTTCTGTGTATAAGCATGTAATTTTGTATTCTCCCTTTAGCATTGGATGTCCTAGGAGGGGGAGTAATCCCTTTTACCTCCTAAACGAGCAATCGGGGAGCACACACAGAATTATCATCCCACAAACCTCCTAATAGAGCAATACGGGAGTACTCCCATAGTTACCTCCCAGAAACCTCCCAAAAAGACAACAAGGGAGTGCACATAGAAAACATCCCATATTCCTCCCGAACGAGCAATAAAGGAGTGCCCCCATTAGAGACATCCCGAAAACCTCCTGTAGGAGTAATAAGAGAGCAATGATAACGAACATTTTACATTAGCCAAACAGATTTTGCTATTTATTAAATTTTTTTATTTATCTTTTTAATCACTTGCATTTGTGCAATATTACAAGATCTTAAAAATAAAACATAAATGATACGTCTTACATAATTGCTTAATTTTAGAATTATATTGCAGAGAAATCATATGAAATTAAAACATAATAATAACAAAACGGTAAGATAAGATTTGAATTATATGCACCTATATGCACATATAAGTATGTACTCCTATATGATTTCCCGGGTGTCAAGGATGCTTGCCAGTTCAGGAATTCACCAAGCGGGGAAATTGTGAAGGTGACTTTGCTTATCTGACATCTTTGTCACCCATGCGATGTTTAAACCCGGGGGTCACACTTAAATGCTGACACTAATTTGCGCAATCTGAAAAGTATTTAACGGTGCATTTACAAGTAATACAATACATACTTAATATATTTAAACAAAAATTGAAGTGCATACCAACGGACTTTTATTAAAATCTGTGTGCTATCCAAATTAAATTATTGTGTCCTCCTTATGCTTCTATAAGAAATATTTTCTGTTGTTTTTTTTTTGTATGATAAATTTTTTCGAAAACACAAATTTCTTTTGAGCGAGGTGCGTACTGCTCTCCTATCAATCAAAAAGAATACTCTTTGATTTCTCGCTTAGGAGACATCACTTTTTGCTCCTAAACGAGTAATAGCGGAGTAAAAAACCGACAAATCTCGCTTATTGCTCTCAAATCATGCCGCAGGGAGCATTCTTTAATTGCTCGCTTAGGAGATCTCTCATTAAGCTCCTAAACGAGTAATAGCGGAGTAAAAAACCGACAAATCTCGCTTATTGCTCTCAAATCATGCCGCAGGGAGCATTCTTTAATTGCTCGCTTAGGAGATCTCTTATTTGACTCCTAAACGAGTAATAAAGGAGTACAAAACCGAAAAATCTCTCTTATTGCTCAGAAATCAGGTTAAGGGAGTACTCTTTTATTCCTCAAATAGGGAGATCTTCCTTCAAGTTCTAGTGGGATGTGCATACGCACATACATATTTGTACATACAAACATACATATAAAAAATTTCATTTGGTTTGAAAGCAAACTCGAAAGAAATAAACAAAGTTATTCAGGGCGTGTGTGAATCGGTAACAAAGTTCTATGGGGAAAGCTGTTGAATAACATTTTTACTATGGTGAGACAGTTTGACAATATGCTATGTGAAATGAAATATTTTTTGACAGCAGTCAATTTTTGATAACCGCGGATTTATGCGGAATAAAATATTACAAATTGAAGTGAAATTCATATTTTGAGAAAACATCGCAATTCATCAACTGAAGCTTTTAACGAACGAAAGGTTACACACATCAACAATCTTTGCGATTGTCAAAATTTTCTATGCATTTATCAAAAATTTCACTAGCCTCATGAGCTAGTGAAATTTTATTCACCTCATAGTTGTCAAAAATTTACTCGCCTCGAACTTTGTTACCGATTCACATACGCTCTCAGATTTCAATTAATTTTTGTTTTGAGTAAACAGCAATTACACAGCAAATCAACCTCACCTATATTTACGGTGACCATCCGTCCTGTATTATACGGGACAGTCTTCTTTTTTGACCAATTGTCCTGGTAATTTATTTATTTTATACGGGACGCCAAATGTTCTGTATTTCCTTTTACACCTAAAATTTTGTGGACGGAATAACTGCAATATTTTCAAAGCTTAGGTAGCCGCAATTGGATTCTTAAAAGTGTATTGCCGTAATAAGGTTAATATATACCTACAATTATGATAGCCAGGCGGAAATCACGGTCGTTGACTCTTTGAGGATATGCTCGAAAATGGTAAAGGAATTCCTTACTCCTCTCTCGGTGGTGGGCTCCACTGGTTACATGTACTCTGCTACTGCAGCAGCTGTATGGAGTATGATGAAGTGGAATTACTTCAATAGCTGCTACTAAGCTTAAGAATTTAAAACCTTGGGTCTCACTCCTAAAGCGTTTTCACGAATAGATACTAGCCAATTTCGGAATCTTATTATGAGAGCTCGACTTCGACTCGATTGAGTGAGAGATCAGGCAATGTTTGATCAATTCGGAGCCATCAGTATGTCTACTGCTTCTTTAATAGAGAGCAGACAGACAGAGGACCTCACCAACGACTATTAGACCTCCATCAAGTTGTCGTCACTGACTTTGAAAAGTTCACCCGCATACCTACAGCTTCGGAGCATTGTTGCCTTATTTCCAATTATCGCTCGAATACTTTTCCCATCCAAGCTCCGTCCTTCACATTTCCGGTACTGCAGTGATGTAAGCCTTATGGATTTCTAGGACATCCAGAGCTTGAAGGACCGTACATTCCAGGTACATATCTGTAAATCATATACCTTTCCCACTTGCAGGGGCTGTCAGTATTGGTATAGATAATGCTCCAAGCCATTTTATGCTTTTTATTTGGATTTGTTTTTAACGTCGCTTGTTCCAAGCCCATCGCGCAAGCTATTTTAATATTGGCTATCTTTTGTCAGTCTCAAAGGGACTCAGTAACGCATTTCAAGGCCATTGAGCACCCTGTATTGGTTACAGTAGAAA